ACGCCACCCACGTAGGAAGAGTGTCCTCTGGGAGTCACGTTCCATGGAAGTGGAGAACCGCCTGTTTGTAGAGGAAATTGCTCATCCTTTCAGGGGTCCATGCCATCGTTGTTCCAAAGGGAGTTTCGAGGCCCTGGGTGTCAGAGCGTCCAAATCCTGCTACTCCAGGTGTTGGAGTCAGGGTGAAACGAAGTTGCTGCAGTCCCCTTCCCAGATACGGTGGCCTGTAGAGAAATCACCAAGCCCTTTCTCCACTGGGTCCTTCAGTTCCAGCCGCACTCCGTTTCTTGTAGCTCCAAGTCATTGACTGAGAAACCGACCACCAAACTCCCTCGACTCCCAAATTCCCTCGACTCCCTTGTACAGGGATGGATGATGTCGAACTCATCAGCCGAGGAAGCCACACTCCCCCAAGGCCCCCGGGCTGCTCTAAGCGGTGCTGCCAATCTTCGATGAGAAGCACCGGAGAGACCTGGCCAAGCGGGAGGCCTTCTCAGGGAAAGCATCTCCAACCAGCAGTAGTATTCACCTGCAAAAGGACCACCTGGCAACCACTCAATGAGTACCTGAGGTATCGGCATAGGTCGTGAAAACGGTGTTCCAAAGGTCTCAAGATATCGTCTTTCCTGAAGCACCAAGCAAGGCCTAAGCAAGGTATGCTAGTGCCAAAAAAGAAGGCATCTCAGAGGTTCTTGCTATTGGACGAGGAACCCCAATTTTGAAAGGCAAATCCCGGGAGTCTACAAACATTTTGTTGCGGGGCCAGTGGAAGCCAGCGGCGACCAACTCCTATGTGGTACAATATGCTCTTCAGCGCATGCAGCTGTACTTTTGCCGTTGTGTGGCTGTCTTACGCTGGCTGTCTCATACTTACAGTATCCATCTAGCTATAAGTCAAACCCTAAAAACCTTGGTTGACACCACCGGCGCTCCCGGTTTTGACCCATCCTCATTTCACCGACCAAAAACACCTCGGATGCATCTGATTCAAGTTGATCTCTCCTCCAGCAATCAATCTTCCCTTGGATGCAGGACCTAGCTATGCCTAGCTGCTTTGGGTTCCCGGACAGAGGCCAAAGCCGCATGCATCTCGGCCAAGGAGATCTGGCGGCGTCGAGCGTGCCGTGGCAGCTACCGCGAGCGGTAGAGGGCGCTCGCGCACCAGTCGGTGGGATCATGCCCCATCTTCGGGACAAGATATCAGTAAAGGACAAAATCTATGGTATCTATTGGGGAGAACTTCTGAATCCTCAGTAGGACCTCCTTGGCGGTGGGGAGGAGGCCCTGCATCGGTTATGCGTTCTGTTGGTCATCGGCCCATTTTGGGGTCAACGAAATCAACAAACCCCTTCCAACCCAACAAAGAAGTTCCCCTGCTGAGATTGGTTGTGGCTGACATGTCATGCCAAATCGAGGAAACAAATCTGCCTCCCAAATAGCAGTTAAGGTATTGAGCAAGAATATTTGCGAGGGTGAATGAGTCAAGGGTTTCCCCGGCTTCTCAAAAAGCCTGCCTTGACACAAAAGCCTGCCTGTGTGCTGTCTTCAGCTTCTCAGCTTGTGGCTTTCACTAAGAGCTGGTTGCACGAGCCTTCTACGAACTGACTTAAGCCTTGTTCTCCTGCTTACCTAGCTGACTCTGGAGGACCTCTGCATACCAGCTTGAGGCCGCATGAGAGCGCTCTTCTACGCTCGCGAAGCTTGGTGGCGCACCGTCGAATGGAGGTTCGTGGTGGCGATGGCCGTGAAGAGGAAGACATGCTCTTCCCAGTCCCAAACGCCAACTTTGGTCCTTAGCACACTCACTCACCATGTGCTTTTTGGAAGCGCCGACGTGTGGGATGACAGTAAATGTGTAATGGTCGAATTCAATTGTCTGTGGTGCCCTGATTGGTTGGAAGTGATGTTGATGCACCACGAGATTGATCAACGTTTCCAGAACGAAGCAAATGCAGCATTGAAACCATCAACAAAAACAAGGAACTCCCAAAAAAAATCCTTGACTTCTAGCCTTATAGGCTGATTGTGGAAGTCACTAAGTAACCCTTCTGTGCGGTGCGGGTCCGCGGGTCCGTGTCATGTGGTCACCTCTCCTCATCACCGTCTCTGGATCGGTCGATGCTGGTGACCGTCTCAGGTGCAAACAGCATGATGGTGGGTGCAGAGTTGGGCATGATAACAGCATGATGTTATTTGATAACAGAGTTGGGCATCTTCTGCTTCCACCAGTTGAAGCAGAAATTATTGGACCTGATCCCTTCGAAGCTTTTGATGCAATAATGGTGTCTTGGAAAAGATCGAGCTGGTGGAATCCTGGCAAGAATCCTGGCAGACTTGCTCCCTTCAAAACACGTTTGCAGCAAACAAAAAGAACGTCATACAAACACTCGCTCCCCAACACAAATGCTTGCTTCCCCTTCTTCCCCGATCCCAACTGTGGCTTCCCCGCATGAGTTGTCCAAACTGCTGGCAAGTATATCGCTTGGAGGCCCAACTTGTGCGTGGCGCCTGACACGAAGAGGAAGCAAAACCTCTCAGGTTTGTCAGTCACCGCGGATGATGTCATCGCACCGAAGCTGCGATGCCGGGTTTCTCCGTGGTGAAAACCACCAAAAAGAAGAGTCGATCCAGAAATCCACCTTTTTGAAGCGGCATTTGGCTGCGAAACACACCTGACAGATACATAAGACACTGTTTTGAGACACGGTCTTGTGTCTTCGAGCCGACTCCAGCTGGTCAGATGGGCATTGGTGGAGGATTTTCCCAAGTCCTTCACCTCTCAAAGCAGTCGACCCCACCAGATCCGTCAACTTGGCCCAGGGAGCCAACCTGCTCAGCTACTTCTGGGTTAGACACCAACTTCTACCATGTTGTTCGATGTGTTGTTCAAAAAGAAATGCTTTGTCAAGAGGAACATCTGCTTCAGCTTCCCCACATAAGGCGGCCGCAGAACTCCCTCTCAGCCGCATGGCGCACCATGGTCTCCATGGCCCGACAGGGAGAGAAGCCCAGCGCAATCCATCTGGCGGGATCCATTCGTTCGGGACCCCAAAAGGCTCGAACGACAGGAACGACAGGAACGACAGGTGATGCTTCAGCACAAGAATCTCTGGGTCTCTGGGTCTGTTGAGAGCCTGTTGGGTTGACAAAGAAAACAGAAACATCGTTGACCTTCGACCTCCTGGAAGACTTTCTGGGCTCTGTTCAGGAGGTCGAAGTTGGACTGAGTCTGCTCATGTCTGAAAAAAAGCTGGGTGAGTGAGTAGCCAAGATCAGCCTCAGGTGGCACAAGTGGCTGTGTTTGGGTGTGTAGTGTTTGATCGGGAGGACTTTTCAAAAACGAGCTTACCCTCCCTCCAAGAAAAAGGAAACATTGACCCATCCATCACTGTTTTGGGTCTTCGGAAGGTTCCTCTCAAGAGTTCCTCATTTGGACAATTCCTCCTCACTTCGGCGGTGGAAAACCCGCGTGGAAAACCGCTGGACCACTGCCGCCTGCACCGGAGATCGGCGAGGCAGCGGACCGGAGCCATGGCCTGCATCCGGGGGCACCCGCGAATGCCCCGCAGGGCGGGGCGAACTGAAAAAAAGACTGGTAGATATCTGGTAGACGAGAGTGCTGCACCCCTCTCTAAGTTGAGTAAGAAAACTAGTAGGCAAACTAGTTTAGGAAAGGCATCTACTACCCCGAAACTGGCAGGCCATGCTTGTTCAGCAAAGGGTACATGAACTGAACAGCCTGGTCGACACCTGTCCATGCAGCTCACAGGAAGTGGCGTGTGTATTGAACTAGGGGGACCCAGCCACCCTGCGTTTTGATTCCCAAGATCCTCAAATCAGGATCAGAAATCATCCACTGCGTGGCCATTGACAGAAGCTCGAAACCAAGGGCACAAGACACATTATGGAGATGCGTGTTCAAGGGTCCATGGACACCCCTTCAAGGCGTCCATGGTATCTGACCCTCTTGGGTATACCGGGTCTAGGTTATACCGGTATACCGCGTATAACCTTGGGTATACCCTCAGCCAAGCGATACTTCCTTGATCGCTACCTGACCCCTCCTCGACCACGGCGTAGAACTCGGTTAAGGAGACGGAGCCGCTCCTGAGAAGAGGGCGATGAGGCCGGACGGCCGGAGGGCGCGCCCCAAACCACCGGACATCGAACTGCTCTTTCACAGTCTCAAACACCAAAAAGGAGAGAAAGAAACACCGTGAAACACCTGAATCCGTCAGCCTTCAGCCTGGGTTTTTCGCGCTTCGCGCACGTGGCTGCTTCGCAGCTCTGAGGCCCCCAACCCATCAGTGTCAAAGAAGCTGAAGATCGTCTCATGCTCCTGGGTGGCTTTCTGTGTGGCATAGAGCAACCTGGTGAACCTTATCCAATGAATTTTTTTAGACTGGACCACCCTATCCACTGGAAGGAGAACCTCTTGTACCACCTGACCTGTTGGTCAGAAACCACGCTAGTCACTGGGACTTTTGGGAGCTTTCAGCTGCTACGGTGTCTTTCATTAGCTCATCGATCTGCAAGTGCAGAGTCGGATGGTTTCCCTGTGATCCAAAAGCAGATCCGCAGGAAAAAGACCCAGTTGCCCAAGCTGCCCAGCAGAGAAAACGCCTGGGTTTCTCTGGAAGGTGCCGTTCCCGTTCTCCAGTTGCCAACAAGGGTCTTCCATGGTCTTCCCAGTTCTATAGTTATATATATATATAGTATTGCAAATATGTCATGTTCACTGTTCACAGCATAAAATTGCAAACACATGTATGTTCCCATGCTTTTGCCATGAACCAATGCTGGGAATATCAGGTCGACGGCACCCTCTCCCCTCGCATCGTTTTCACGACACTGCGGAGGCATCAGACCTCCGTCAGAAGTCCCTCCGTAGCCGGACACAATCCGCAGTAAGAAGCGCTGACTTTGGTGAAAAGATGTTGTTTGATAATTACTAGCAAACATAAATTGATTATTCACCATTAAACAACTTTGAAACATATGTCTCGCATTCCTTTCTTTCACCAGCCAATGTCCTAAGTCACCCACTTCCCAGCCGCAAGCGCCCCGCTTAAAACGCAGCTCTGCTGGCTCCATCCCACACATGGCCACTTTCTGTGGCCGCAATATTGTGCAGTTGGGCAGATTGTCCGTGCTCCATCAAGCAGGTTTTGAAAAGAACCGACGGATTCGGCTTCATTGGCTTCCATCAGACCATCACCCATGGCGCTATCCAAAGCAGCGCAAAGAAGGCCGGGCACTCACTCGGGTCACTTCTACTGAGTTCCCTTCTCCAGCAAATCCATGGCCTCCTTTAAGGATTGAATCTCCTCCGCGCGCCGCGCTGCACGCTCCTGTGCCGTGGAGCCCGTCGCCAGGCAGCTGTCCTTCAGCTGCTCGTAGTACTCCAGGGCCGCGGTCAACCTGAAAGGGACGAATCGTCGGTTGGAAAGCATGGGATGAAGGTGGGTACCCTCCACTTCACTGAGGCCCATGGGTACGGAGCCCATGGAAGACGGTGTTCCGAAGACGGACAGGGTGGTGAACCCACTTCCAGTTCAATAGTGAGGCGGAGGGTCATCAGCTATCAACCACCATCTGGACGAGTCACTCTTTGTCTGCATTTTGCAGATCTGCCTTTTTGCCCACGATCAGCTGCTCCTTCTCTCCCTTCTGGATCTTCTTATGTTCCAAATCCTTTTCCTCACAGAAGACTGCGACGCAAGCTCGACGACAAAGATTACAAATAAGATGGAAGACGAAGTGGAGGTTCCATGCACGGAAAGCCATGAAATCCGTCGTGTAGCTGGACCCAATTCGATCAAACCCAAAGAACTGTTCATCGTTGCAAGTCAGCAAGGCTAGACACCAATTGATGTCCTTCCTGCACATCTCACCCGGTGTGCCTTCAAAGGGGAAACCTGCTAATCCATCCTTTTCTGCTTGTGCATCCTTTGGTTGGAAGTCTTCTGTGGCCCTTTTTTGTTGCCTTCATACCCTCTGACCCACCTGCTTATATACCCACCCTTCATCTCTTCATCTCGCTTTTCAGACCGAAGCGGCGAACCGAACGAGCGGCGAGCGGCGAACCGAACCGCTCTCCTGTTGAACCTTCAAGAGCGCCATCTCCGACTTCAAGCTTTCAAAGGTCTGGCGGAGTTGGCGGAAACCGTGGCGGAGTGTGAGTGCATGTTTTTCTTGGAGAGGGAACTGCAGTGTTGCGTGCGGGAATTCGAAAACACCTGCAGTCACATGCCAAAACCCAGAGCAAGAAAGAGTCCCCTGTCCCACCCTCAGGGTTAACTGATGGGAGCTGGATTTGTCAAAGTTCTCCGTGCATTGTGTTTTTTTTGTAGGAGGAAAGATACGCTCCTCCACACTAACATCGAACGATGTTCCTTTACAAAAAGGTGGTTTTCCACTTCCAGCTCCAGGGAGAGCAACACATCACCTCCCAAACACAGGCCTTTAGCTCCCACCTGACCAGGAGCTGTGATGTTTCGTTCCGCTGTGCTCGGCGAAGGGGAGGTTTAAAAGGACTTCCACGACTGGTGGTTCAATGGTTCAACCAAAAGAGACACAAACAGATACAGGCCGCAAGTAGGTAGGTTTGTGTGTGTGCAGTGGTTCTATGGATACCTGGGTTGTGCAAAGTGAACTTTCCATAAGGTTCAGAGAGGAATAGAGCCATCTCACCTACCAAGAAATGTTGGTCCACCAAGTCTTCCCAACACTTCTGTGGTTTTCTGGCTGTTTCCTTGGTGGCTTTTCTGCCGGCAAAAGCCGCATCCCAGGCAGCGGTTATGTGCTGATTCTCAAAGGTTCTTGTAGATAGTGGACTAAAACGTCTTCGGCCTGAAACAACATGTTTTAGCAATGTGTCCAAGAATTCCTGTTTCATGCCGGCGTCGTCCTGTACCCAGCACGTGTTGGATGCTGATTGGTATATTGGACAGAGACACAATAGAAGCAAACATCCTGCAAAATGCTCTTTTTGTATCGTTATTTTTTAGTCTCAAGGATTTGAACATATTATATTGAACAAGAGCATGTCAACATGAGTTCAGTTTATGGGAAACGTCGCATGCATCTTGGTTGGAACGCTGGTGGGCTGCATCGGTCAGAGATTCGGAAGCAGCCCACGATGTGTTGTGTGGCCGACCGGAATGCCCTTTGGTCCGATTCGTTCAGGGCGCAACTCTGTTTGAAGAACGTGCTGGCCGGGGGGACGTCCTTGCCGTGGTTGCTTTTGCCAGCTGACATGACATGGCCACTTTGCGGTCGTTGCTTCAGGCTGTGCCGAGATTTTTCGACGATGGATCTGTAGCGGCTTTGGTGACGGTGCGCGCATGAATCCAGGAACTCCGTTGGTGTAACTTGGGATGGCGTTACGAGCAGTTGTTGACGCACTGGTTGTTTGGAGACTGTTAATAGCGCAACTTGCGGTCCCTGTCCGTCACGGCCTTTCATAGGCAGTGAAAGAGACTGTTAATAACGAAAGAAATCATGTTTGATCATGTTTGCAAGTCTCGACACAAAACTTTGTTTAACTTGATCCGAGGAAGCTAGTCTCTCACGATCCTTCTTGGCCATCTACTTCAGCACCTGCAACCCCACCGCAAAGATGGCCAATACTGGCCACTTGATGGCTTTTCATCAGACATTTTCTTCATCTACGAGGCTTCGTTAAATCTCCGGTGCGATGTGGACGTGCTACGTGAAGGTTACCACAGATCTCACACCTGATCAGATGCTCAAGCAGCTAGATGCTGCTTTCAAACTGCGCTAAAGAAATGTGCGTTGTGCAGCTGAGGTGAGGGGTGCAGGACGTCGAACTCATTCGTTTCGGGCGACCCCACTTTCACGGCATTTCAAGCGGTAATCGGAATTCCATTATATTTCGGCGACCCATGCTGCTGTCTTTCATGGGGTCTGAGGGACGTTGTATTCAGATAGTATATCCAAGTCTGTCTGGCAAAGGTCCTATGTTCAAAAATATAGAATAAAGTCTTTAAAGGCTTCAGGTGATGTAGGATGTCCTCCATCCAGGGCAGTCTACACTTCTCTCCCGTCCTGGCCTTCTCAGCTGCCACCTCTTGCGCTGCCGTTGTGGTCTCCAGCTTGGAGTAATCCGATTGCACCACTTCGAGCATGGCGATGACACCATCACCGCCCTGGGGGCTGTAGGCACCCTCCTGAGAGCGAATAAACAGTGCGCTTGAAAGTCACGCCCAAGCATGACAAGACTAACTACGGCTGACCACATAAATATATATATATATATATTCTGTCTATTTACATAATTGTATTTATTTGGAGGCTGAGTATTGGAGGTTGTCCAACCAACTGCTTCTTAAGAACTCCCGATCGCCGGCCTTGAGGGCACACCATGCACATTTTGTCTCGGGGATTAAAACCAAGTAAACCAGCATTTATTTTGTTGCGAACCTATCTTGCAAATCAGTGTCCTAGTCTTAGGCCTACTGTCTCCAGTTCAGTTTCAATGCCTTCCATTCCAAAGTCTTGGACTGTCCAAAGCCTTGGGCTAGCGCCCAAAAGATCAAGAATCACCCATGGCCCATCTGCCAGCCATCCGTACGAAGACTCAAACGATTGAACATGGACAGTCATTCTTGTGGAGAGTCCACATAGTGCTTTGAAAGAGCTGCAGTGGTTGAATCAACATGTCCAATAGTTTTTCTTAATGACGATGACTCTTTGAAAGCAGAACCCCAGCAATTATGGCCCCAAGACCAACAGAAAATACATGAAAACACTCCCCCAACAAACATGCCATTCTGAGTCCGTACTAGGACACCTCGTCGCACCTCGCATAAACAAATCAGGGACCAGCCTTTTACCCAGCCTTTTACCCAGCATCCCCAGTCCAAGCTTCGAAGATCTCAGGGGCCTCCGGGGCAGGCGGAGAATAGATCTCAGCGCCCGTGAACACCGGGCAAACACGTTGACGTTGGAAAAGGACCCGCAGGAAAGGTCACATCAGGGGCCCATAGTAGTGTAAAATAGAGAGAGAGAGAGAGTTCATGAAAATTAGAACAAGCAAAGTAACCGGTTTAACAAAATAGACGCATATATGTTCAACTGTGATCGCCACCAATGACCATCGCTGTGAAGGTGTATTCTGAACGTTGTTGTTGCCCATCAAAGGCACAGCCTGTCTGTGTGGAGGTGCGGGCAGGACCTTGGGGTGTTGAGCCATCTGTTTCCACCGGCGGTCGTGGATTGATCACATCTCTTGGCGACGCCACCGAAGACCACGGGAGCTTCAGGAAGAAAAGAGAATCATCCGTGTGCGCTGGGAAGGCTACCTTTGGGGGAATTGTATAATATATACAGTATTGATAAAATGATTTTAAAAAATAAAAAAAATGTAAATACATTGTATGTTATGCAATGTATTTAAATTTGAATGAATCTATGACAATCATCTTGTGAAAAGTATCTTTTAACTTACTATAATATATATATATATATATATTATATGTATCACAAAAATGGAGGAAGTGTCCCTTTCCCTCTCTCATTTCATACAATAGGCACTCACCTCCTATCTTCTGTTCGTTGTCACCCCTGAGCCACTGTCGTCTCTGGGTCTCAAAACTCTAAAATGTTTACTGACGGTATAGAGAATTTTGTTGAGGTGTGACTTGAATGGGACACAAACCCATCTGATTGACTCGAATTCTGAAATCAGCATACTACGGTAGGACCTAAGTCTGTTCCGACTCCGACTCAGTTTCTGGTGCCTTTGACCCCTATGTCGTCTTCACTCCTCACACCACCTCGACGCATTGCCTTATCGCGAAGAGATGACCAGCCAGGAAAATCCTGTCACACCATATCGCTCCCGCCCCCAACAAGCTCCACACACAAAAATAGAATAGAAAGACAAAGGCCTTCGCCAGCTTCACGGTTCGGCTTTGGATGAAGGCGACCCCGGCGTAGAAGTTCTTCAGCACCTCGATGGCCTTGGCCACTGCCTCGGAGCGGCGGGGGGGAGCGGAGCGACTGGTGATCTGGCGAAGGTGGTCGGAATCAATTCATTTGGTTCGAATCCCAAAGAATTTCCCAGATATCTGGTGCAGGATCTGTAGATCTGGTGGATCTGGTAGGTGGATCTGGTAGATCTTGCGGTTTTTGTCAATATCCCGTTTGGCGGGCCCAGTGGATGGGCCCCAGATCTCTAAAATAGTGATAAGACCTTCTTTACCAGCTGTTACAGGTAATGGGACAGACCCTAGGTATATGACTGGTGCACTTGCTTCTTTTGCTCGTGATGACTCTTGATTTCTTTTGTTGTTTGTGTTTTGGGGTAGTGTCATAACATGTCATAGTTCGTGTGAGATGTAGTTTTTCCTACGCGTTCTTGATGCACGACAGGAGAGATCTATATATATATATGTATGGCTGTGGGTCAAAACCAGGATACCTTGGTTGACCTAATCTGGAAGGTCAAGCTACATTTTTCCCAAAAGCATCTCCGATGCTTGGGTTCTCGTTTAGTCGCTAGTGCCGGGGGAGAGCGAGGAAAAGCTTACGTTGTCGGGGACGGAAGATGGAGGTGGAGGTGGACGGGGTTGGGAAGGGAAGAGGGAAGGGAAGGAAGAGGGAGGGGAAGGAAGGGAGGGGAAGGAAGGGAGGGGAGCGAGACGGGAGGCGCATGGGAGCGAGACGAAAGGCGCATGGATGGGGACGGGGCTGGGGAGGGAAGATGGAGGGGAGCGAGACGGGAGGGGCATGGGTGGGGACGGGAAGATGGAGGGGAGCGAAACGGGAGGCGCATGGGTGGGGACGGGGCTGGGGAGGGAAGATGGAGGGGAGCGAGACGGGAGGCGCATGGGACCACAAGCATCAGTGCAGGCTGCTGTGGGGCAGTGCACAAGTAGAACGAAGCAATGGAGCGGTGTTGCGGGGCTTAGGTATGGTCTTGGGTGTCCAAAATGTGCACAATGCCTGCGACAGGCAATGTTGCGTTGAGCACATGGTCGCATCACAAGCATCATGGTAGGCCGCTCCGGGTCAGTGCACAAGTAGAACGAAGCATGGGTGGGGGTAGTGCTGGTCCATGCTTCGCGGACGTGTGTTGGGTGGTGAGTGGAGCTGCGCTGCGGGGCTGATACGATGGGGTTGGGTGTCCAAAATGTGCACAGTACATGCGCCAGACAAACAAGGCATGGCCGACACGGGAGGAGCGTTGTGTGCCACAAACGCAACGTGGGAAATTGTACGGTTGGAACGAACCTTGGAGGGGGCCGATACTGCTCCAGGCTTCCTGGAACGGTTGTCAGAAGCCATGTTGCAATGTTATTGGAGACTAGCTGCAGATTGAAAACAACCAGTTTTTTATTCTATATATACGCCTAGAATCCGTTTGACCCTCTTTTGACACGAAAAGGCCATATTTGGGATAGTTGACCCTCCAAAACAGGGGTCACTCAGGTTCCAGGTATATGATACATCCAAAAGCCAACCCGACGAAAGACGGAACTGCCACGCGCCCCACGCCACACGTGGCCCAAACTGGGGATCCGTCGGAGACCGTGCGGCGCAGAGTCGGACGGAGCCCTAGAAGAACGCCAGGGGCTGGGGAGGGAAGATGGAGGGGAGCGAGACGAGAGGCGACGGGGCTGGGGATGGAAGATGGAGGTGCATGGGTGGAGGGGAGCACGCGGAAGGCGCGTGGGTGGGACGGGAGGCGCGTGGGGTCGGGGCTGGGAGGGAAGATGGAGGGGAGCGAGACGGGGGGCGCATGAAGATGGAGGGGAGCGAGACGGGAGGCGCATGGGTGGGGAGGGAAGAAGGAAGGGAGTGGGAGGCGCACATGGGTGTGGACGGGGCTGGGGAGGGAAGATGGAGGGGAGTGAGACGGCGTGGCTTGGGTGTGGACGGGGCTGGGGAGTGCATGGGTGTGGACGCTTGCGCGGCTGATATGCTAGTTACGAGGACATGGTCGCACCACAAGCATCATTGCAGGCTGCTCCGGGTCAGTGCACAAGTAGAACGAAGCATGGGTGGGGGTACTGCTGCTCCATGCTTCGCGGAAGCACGTTGGGAGGTGAGTGGAGCTGCGGGGCTTATACGATGGTCTTGGGTGCCCAAAAAGTGCGCTATGCATGCGACAGACGGTCAAGTCGTGGCTGAAACGGCAGGATTGTTGCGTCGAGCACATGGTTGCACCACCAGCATCATTGCAGGCTGCTCCGGGTCAGTGCACAAGTAGAACGAAGCATGGGTGGGGGTAGTGCTGCTCCATGCTTCGC